TGGCAACTATGTCGTGCAACGGTATGTAAATTAGATGAAGTATATAATTAAAAAAATGAGTGATAGCAATCAATTTGATTTAAATCTCGAATTAAACCATTACTCAGAATAAAAAAAGTTAAAATATAAAAGGTACAAAGATTGAATTGTCATCAAAAATTCTTATACATAATATCGTAACTTAATCATTAAAGTAGAGACAAAAATTTCAGAAGTAAAGAGAAAAAAGGCCATGCAGTAGTTTCCTGATATGTGTATCATTTTTACATAAGAAACAACACCATTTAATTCAACAGCTACTAAACTATAAATTATACGTTGTTTTCTATGGTTCCTTTTATTTTATTATTTTGGGATGGGATGTATGTTTTGCATTCAAATTTAATATTTTAAGATATGTCTATCGTTTTCTGATATAAATGTTCATTGCTATTGAATGCAAGTCCTGTCAAGTCCATATCTTTTATCTAGCTACTTTTGTAATTGTAAATGTCACAAACTAAAAACAAAGGCTGTTCTGATTATTAACCATCAACAACATATATTTCATTCAGAATAAGTTGCAGAACACAAACAAATAGGTAGCTGTTCTCAGATAGGCAGTCTACAAAGTATTTACCAATTAAATATCGAAGGTATTATTAAATCTAGTGAATAGCTCCCTAAACTTCTACTATAGAATACAATAGATAATGTACATTACAAGAAATACCAAAAGTATCTCAAATTTGAATACAATTATATTACTGATGGCTACAGTCAAGTTGAAGTGACGTATCATCCAAAAAAATTTGCTTTTCCTTTTCTTTTTTGTTTTTTTGTGTATATTTTTCGCGTGTTCCTCACCTTCCTAAATGACTTCGTCCATCATTTATAACGACTGAGCAACGGCGGTTCGAATCACAAACTGTATCATTGTTCTAAGCCTACTTCCTAGTAGTTAGGTTTACTGTGTATGGTACAACTTGACAATGTTAAACTCCTATCTATGTCATAAGCAAGCAACATAATTAATGTCATTATTGAAGTCCCTGAAGTTAAAACTATATCCAGTATCTTCGCCAAGTGATGTACTTTTATCGGCCTACTCTCCAGAAACATTTGTAGTGTGACTTAACAACCAACATACAGAATGGATGTACAATGGCATATATGAAAACATGCATATTATATATTATGCTAAGGATAGTACGGACAAAGCAAGGAATACACTTCCCGGTAAGTCTATCTAAGGATGTCACAATTTTCTAGTTGGAAATAACGGCAATCCATCACTGCGTAGAGCAAAATGGAAAAGCAGAAAAGAACGCACCGTTCAATTGACATCTGCACAGATAGTCAGGTAGTGCTTAAGGCACTCACTGCTCTAGAGATCAATTATAAGCCAGTGTGGGGTTGTGTGGCTGCTCTAAGCACGGCAAACCGTAGCAAGGTTCAAATAGCCTGGGTATCGAGGCAGGAGGCTCATAAGTGCAGTGAAAAAGCAGATGAAATGGCCAAACACGGCTCATAATGACATTTCCTTCTACGGCGTTGCAAAGGCAGTAACAGGAACGGCTATCAGAAAGTGGGAAGCTTACATATCTCTGGAATGGTGGAGATATTAACACTACACTAGATTAGAAAATACCTAAAGAATTAAAAAAAACAAAGATTATCGTGATTTTTAGAAAGGAAAACCAACAAATAAATGTGAGAGATATAGCCCTATTGCTTTATATAAGCATTACCTTTAAGCTCGTTAAACGATTAATATAACAGAATAAGTTCAAGGCTATAACAGAAGCTTGAAAAAATATCAATAGGTCATGATAGTTGAAATAAAACCGTAGACTTTGTTCGAAGATCAATAATGGCCTAAGCTTGCCTGGTGCTGTACTTATAGACCTAATAGCAGCATATAATACACTATAAAGAAAAGAACTAATATATACATGTTTAAGTAAATGGCTACAAAAAATAACTTCATTGGTAAATAATATGCTATCGGAAAGAGTGTTTAAAACATATGTAGGAACTCTAAATCAGAAAAACAGATCTAGGAAACCTAGAAGTCTAAATACTTAATTAATGGTTTTGTTCACGATTCGTATACTGGGTTAATTAAAGAGGTTCCTTGCACAAGGGCAAATTAAGCCCTGTTATCACAAGAGATAGCTAGGAGCGATCTAAACAAATGGCACAGATCAATTTTAACCTGGAGACCATACCAACACAAAAGACCCAGAGGCAGACCTCCTATGAGATGGACAGATGATCTGAAAAGGACTGCCGGGAAAAATTGGCTACAAGTAGCGTACAATAAAAAACAATGGAAAGGAAGACTTGAAGAGGCTTATGTTCAGATGTGGACGTGAATGGCTAGACGAAGAAGAAGAAGAAGAAGAATCACAAGAGATAAATCATAACAGATAAACAGGAAATTCTACAAACTGTCGGACAATTTTACAGCGAACTCTACAGCAAAACAGAAGAAAATGTTCCAACTGACAACATACCAAAGGTTCTAAATCAGGGCTCGGAAGACATACCAGATGTTACTGTTGATGAAATCAAAAAAGCATCCTACAAATGAAAAATAATAAGTCACCTGGCGACGACGGGGTCGTTGCCGAAGCCATAAAATTAGGAGGCGAGAAACTGATACAAATGCTTTCCATACTTTTCACAGAATGCCTTGAAAGAGGAACAACACCATCACAATGGCAAAATGCAGTGATCATTCTAATGTTTAAGAAAGGAGATTTAACAAATCTCGTAAACTATAGACCAATCAGCCTCATCTCACACATATACAAGCTTTTTACAAAAGTCATAACAAACAGACTTTCGAACAAAATGGACTTTTACCAATCATGCGAACAGGCAGGATTCAGGTCAGGCTTCGGCACAAACGACCATCTACAAGTTATTAAAAGCCTCATCATGTATAGAGTACAATAAACCCCTCGTCCTAATATTTGTGGATTATGAGAAAGCATTCGACACAGTAAACCACCAGAAAATGCTAGAAGCTTTAAAAGAGTGCCGATTAGATCATCGCTTTACCACTGTCATTAAAAATATCTATGATAATGCCACGGCATGCGTCAGACTCCATGAAGATACACACAAGTTCAACATTCATCGTGGAGAGTTCGCTAGGGCGACACCATCTCACCAAAACTGTTTACAACATTATTGGAATACATGTGTAAGCGTGCAAACCTAGACGAAAAGGGCATAAACATAAATGGAGAGCAGCTTAGTCACTTCAGGTTCGCGGACGATATGGTCCTGATAACAGACCGCATAGATCATGCCATCGAAATGTGCGAAAGACTCTACCATGCCTCTACACAAGTGGGTTTAAAGATCAATAACTCAAAAACACAAGTGATGACAAACCTTGTTCTGAGTGAGAACATCAACATAGCTGGAACAAGTATAGAACAAACATCAGCATACAAATATCTGGGACACGAAATTCGCTTAAGTAGAGATAACCAGACCAATGAACTAATACGTAGAATAGGGTTGACATGGGCAGCTTATGGAAAGCTAAGAGATGTTTTCCAATCAGCTCTTCCCATCTGCTTGAAGAGAAAAGTCTTCGATCAATGTGTGCTGCCGGTTCTAACCTATGGTGCAGAGACGCTAACACTTACTAAGACGTCCGCAAACAAAATTCGAACAACACAGAGGGCAATGGAACGGTCCATGTTGGGATTAACCATGAGAGACCGAATACCCAACACAGAATTGCGCCGTAGATCAAGAGTAACCGACGCAATCAAAAGAATATCAACCTTAAAATGGAACTGGGCAGGGCACGTCGCGAGAACGAAGGACGGCAGATGGACAAAACGCATTCTTGAGTGGAGACCCAGACAAGATGCCTTTAGGAATAGAGGACGACCACCAACAAGATGGACGGATGACCTGAAACGGACACATCAAAATTGGATGCAGGCGGCTCAGGACAGAAATTTGTGGGGTGAACTACGGGAGGCCTATGTTCAGCAGTGGACGAGTATGGGCTGAATGATGATCACAAGAGAAAACTTTGTTGCTTCAATCTAAACAGTCGGACTAACTTGCATCTAAAAGTTACTTACTTCTCTTCCTTCTTTCATTAAATCATATCCCAAAATTATTGGCTGTCACCTTGGGCTGCACGCTTTACTATAACGAAAACCTAACCGCTACTATCCGAACTTGGGCCTTGTATCCTGTTATATCTGTAGATAAGTAGTGTGCTTTATTGTAGCTCAATATTCGCCAAATCCATTAAGTGAACATGGTCTATAATCAGTGGATGCTTGAAAAGTACTTGATTCTTATAGCTGTCGTTTTTAAATCATATGCATCTCTGCAGACGAACAAAGTATAATGCTGGAAATATTGAATATCTAAAATAATTTAGACCTGTCTATCCATAAAGACATAATCGATTTTGAAAGATAAAAGTCTAGACAGCCGCCAGTCGAAATCGCCAAACTTCTCTAAACTTGGCGAATATCGAGTAACACGCTCTATTTGACATCAAGCTACTGTCTTCCAATTACTCCGAACAATATCGACCACTCTGAATAGAGTCCGGAACGGCCAGAGACGACGCCGAGTCAGTCTTCATTTATGGAGAATACGTCAAAGAACATGTGGTGCAGAACAATAGAACATGCGCCATGTAGGTAGTATATGAGTGCACAAGGTACCGAACTTGGTAATGGCCACGTTAAAATCATTAAATCGCATTCATTGTGGCATTTAGTTCATTATAAGCTATAAAAAATCATGCTATCATCCATATTGTAACAGAATAATGTATATTTAGTTATTTCTTTAGTTTATATTTTGGAAATAAAGATTATAATTTCAGTAGAACCTGATTTCGTCATTGAGGTAAATTATTTAACTTTATTTAAAATAATGAACCTGATGTAATTATAGATGCAAAATAAATGAAGCTGTTTCTTTAGTAATGTTGTTTTTAAGAAAATAGTGATCAAAATACTTACCCAAAATAAGGAAGACCATTTCAACGGTGTACAAGCTCGATTCAACATATCCAACTTGAAAATGCCTCATTATTTGCTCTCTCATGTAAGTTGTAATTTTCGTGATTAAACCAATGGCACCTAGATAATAAAAATAACAATTAACATTATATATACATTATAAGTAATTTATATAGAAAAAGGTTCCATTATTTCAAAGTACACATTATTTTTTTGTGCTAGACTACTAGGAAAGTTCTCGTCCAAATATTAGTCTGTATGAGTCCCTATAGAGAGAAATTAATGGTAAAGAAAGACCGAATATAATAAGATATAAGAAGACGGAGAAAAAAATAGTGAAGATGAAAGATATGAGGTACGTGAAACAAATGAAATAGATAAGAGGGAAGAGCAGCAATCAACGATTCTTAAAGTTAAAAAACAACCCAGAAACAAATTACCCGAAATAGATAATTTTTCGGCCGAACCATATAAAGATGGCGGTCAAAATACAACAATGGCTTGACAACAACTTATATGAGAACTTTGAATGATCCTACATATGCTATCGCAATTAAAATATTCTCCAATATATTTCTGTGTCACCGTATGGCACAGTATACAGAAAAAATAATTGAAAAATACCAGGCTGGGTTCACAGGTGGAAAATACAAACTCCATTAGATTTTTACTCATGGACTAATTTTAGAAAAACTCTTCATTCCTTAATTATATTTCTACTCATACATTAATTTTAGAAATTGAATATAGAGACACGATACATATTTATCGATAGTAAGGTAGTTAGTACGACTTATACTATTAGTTAATAGAGGAGAGATATTTAGGATAATAAGTTAAGAGCAACCTTAAAACTAACAACGACTATTATAGGCCGGGCTGAACCTCTCTCCTGGATACTGTTTAATCTATCGCCAAAAAAAGTAATCCGTACGTCACAAACATATTCTCAATATATAAAAAGTTTAGCTACGCAGATGGTATCTATAATACCATATAGATACGTAATATAATAAACACCAACAAAACGAAATACACGAAAAAAAGTACACAACCACAAATCCTACGGCCATTCGTTATAGAAGACGTCATTCATGTATAGATAAATTCACATTCAGATGGCAGCGTTACAGAGATAGGCCTGTACTTTCTATATGCCAGAAATAACTACATTGTTGTCAGTTTTTAATCGTACCTACAATCGTACGTTATGGGCCGGCTCCTATAAAAGAATTATAATTTCGGAAATATTTATGAATGTGAAACGGAAAAATACTACATTTTTTTAATTATATAATTTTTCTGTTGGTATTTTAAAAATAGAAAGTTATATTTCGGAAATCTGGTCTTTTCGGAATTATATCTTCTGTTCAAAATTGTTTACAATTCGTGGAAATGAAATAATTATTTGTATAATTAGTTTTTGATCTTAATGTCCTTTTAATGACACTTTCTCTACCTGCATTTACAGTTACAGACATTAAAAAATAATTTAGAATTAAAAAAATATACCTATTTATAAATTCAAAATTATTGTCTAATGCCAGCAATTATAAATTCAGGTAAATACTTGAGAGTTATTAAAAGAATTTTCAGTTGATATCAGACGTTTGTATCGTGTCAGTGTCAAAATGGCCGCGAGTGTAATAAAATTCAAAAAAGGTAATTTGTTAAATAGTGAATGCAAAAAAATAGTGTTAAATGTTTTTAACTATTTATCAAACAGTAATAATGATAAATCAATATAAGGTTGAATGTTCGAATAAATGAACTTTGATGGTACACAAGGCAAATATCGAACACAGTATTTAATTAAATCTTGCCCAAGTACTTTCGATCACAAGATCATCCTCAGGGGCATTTCGTCAATTGTGGCCTATCCAGCAATAACCGAATGTCATACATGTAAACTGGGACATAACAAATACACTAAAGACAAACAAACACTTTAAAATTTAAATTGGAGAAGCTATATATTATATATTATAGAAGCCGGAGACAGAATTGTTATGTCCCAGTTTACATGTATGACATTCGGTTATTGCTGGATAGGCCACAATTGACGAAATGCCCCTGAGGATGATCTTGTGATCGAAAGTACTTGGGCAAGATTTAATTAAATACTGTGTTCGATATTTGCCTTGTGTACCATCAAAGTTCAATAATGATAAAAGTCTATCAACAATAGTGCGGGAAGTTTCTGCTATGACTGGAGTCTCTGAGCGAACGATATTCCGATATAGAAGTGAAAGTAAAAATGGTCCACTCGTAACTCCTATAAGAAAGAAAAGAACCGGTTATTTGAATAGTCGTGAGAATAGATATGATGAAGCAACTCGGTCTAGAATAAGACAAGTAGTGCACGGTTTTTTTATGGACAATATTTCTCCAACCCTTGACGTAGTACTAGAAAAAATTAAGCAAATGGAGCATCTTCCGAATTTTTCCAAGAGTACGTTGAGAAGACTATTGCACGACATGGGTTTTATATATGGCAAACAAGGTAGAAATTCAATATTAATAGAAAAACAAGAAATAGTCGCTTGGAGGCGTCACTATCTCCGGGAAATAAAGAAACTGAGGAACGAAGGAGCCAATATCATTTATATGGACGAATCATGGGTTAATACTGGAATAACCAATGGGCAAGTATGGCAAGATACAACAATAAAAAATAGCCGACAGGCTTTCGTAAATGGACTTACCACAGGTTTAAAAACTCCGACCGGAAAAGGACCAAGATTTGTTTTAGTCCATGCAGGAAACAAAGACGGATTTGTTGAAGGTGCTGACATCACTTTTCTTGCCAAAAAAGGTGCTGAAGATTACCATGAAGAGATGGACGGAGATCTATTTGAAAAATGGTTTGAAGAGATGTTAATACCGAATCTCCCAAAAAATAAAAAGAATGTCATTATCTTGGACAATGCATCTTATCACTCTAGGACATTAAATTTTCCCAAACAATATTGGGTGAAATGTCAAATTAAGGAGTGGCTCTATGAAAAGGACATTTATTTTGAAGAAGATTACTTAAAAAATGAACTTCTGGAAACTGCTAATGTATTTAAAAATATTTATGACAAATACAAAATTGATTGTATTGGTGAAAAATACAGGAATCACAGTGACGAACAATGCCGTGTAGATGTACATATCTTAAGACTTCCGCCTTATCACTGTGAACTGAACCCAATAGAAATGGTGTGGAGTGAAGTGAAACGGTACGTGTCCTCTAAGAATTCAAGTTTCAAACAAAACGACGTTAAAACATTGATTTATGAAGGTTATGATAAAGTACAGAACAATGGACATTGGAAAAATTACGTCAACCATGTTAAAAAATTGGAGAAAAATTTTTGGACTGTAGACAACATTCAAGATGACATTGAACCTATTAGAATTTCATTAAACGATGACTCTGAAGATGAACTAGATTATGAAAATGAAGATGATTGAAAATTGTTTTTCGGGGGTATTCTTTTCTCAGTAAAGGTAATAAAATATTTAGTTGATCTGGTTGAAATGTAGCACACTTAAATAACTCATTAATCGACATAATTTCAAGTAGTTATATTAGACGTCATTATGCAAAAAATAAAGTTATGAACATTTAATAAATTAGTGCACAATTGAGGCCCCTAGAACACAAGGGGTGTAAGTGCCAAAAACAAAGTTTAGAAAAATCTTTGTTCAAAGTTCGATATAAATTTAAAAACCTAGGTAGCACTTTTTCAGTTTTCAGCATGTTTTCAATGACATGTAATTTTTGATGGTGTTATTGTTCTTAATGTAGAAAGTTTGAAGCCAAAAGTACGTGCCTGTTGTTAGATATCAGTTGCTAAGTGATAAGCAACTGCACTTACACCCTTGTGTTCTAGGGGCCTCAATTAGGGGTTTTTTGCAATTATCTCAGTCATTTGTTTATGTATTTTAATTTACAAACTAAAAAATTAAAAAACTTTTTAAGATCTGCAACATTTGAAACATTTTTCCCTAAAATGCACGAGGAACAAAATAGGCAAAAAAATGATTTTTTCCAAACTTCATCTTTCTTTAAAAAATAAACAAAGCAAAATTGGCTGTAATTCTTCAAGGAATTATCATCAGTTATCGCTTATCTACCGTTTAGAACATTAAAAAACCTGTAGAATATTTTTCATATTTTTTTCCCTATTAACTGCGGTATTATGTATAAAAGCATTTTTGGAATTATTACCATTTATTTCATTCACGAATTTTCTATTAACAACTTTAGCTTACCTAAACATATCTTAGTTTACCGTGAGTTTGGCCCTGCTTATTTTACAAAAGTAGCAAAACTTACAATGGCAGTAGAATTGGCAACGCTGTTATCCTATATCCGTACACTGCCATCTGAACGTGACTTTATCTATAGTAATTGGTCGAATCTGGGAACACTTGTCAACATTGACAATAGCACTACCGCATAGATAACCGCAAAATTTATGTGGTAAACGGGTGCTATTTTGGGTTCAATTTCCTTTTCAAACGCTTAAGTATATTAAGAAATACACAATGAAGATATAGAAAGAACAGTTAAGAGTTGATTTCACGTAAGTGCCTCTACAATTCGCTTATACGTATTTCATCCTTGCAGGATTCTCACGAAATTCAATATCAAAAAGGAAAGGTAGACCCAGAAAGAGATGGAAAGAAAGCACATGAAAACTTTTGAAAACATGTGAAAGAAAAAGCATTGGACAGAAATCAATAGAAGACATTAGTTAAGAAATGTATGGAAAAACAATAAGAAATATTAAATGTAGTTAATATAATTAAAACGAAATGTAAATAGTAATTGTAATGGAAAATGTAAAATTTTCAGTCCCAGCCCTTTAAGGCCTTCTTATTCTTCAGTGCCTTATCCAGTCCGGATAAGGACTGAATTGTAATGGTACACTGCAGACCCTATATTATCTTCTTTTTTATCCGTCTATGAATATTGAATGATAGTTTACTCAATTATTTTGAGTTTCTGTTTTTTATACAATACAATGCATGGAGCTTTACATTATAAAATTTTCGAAAATGCATTTGACATCTTTGTATGTGGAAATATATTTCTTTTCATTGATACATTTCGTGGTTGAAAGTTG